ACTGAAATTTGTGCCATTCCTGATACTTCAGTTTATGTCTCAGTTTAACATTGTAACCACCCAACACAAGGCTGTTACTAATATATTAGGTATGCTTTTCAGGGTAAATCTAAACCAAATAAAGTCCACGGCTTTTGCATCTGCTTGTGATGAAATTGTGTGTTTTTTAATATAGTTTTCTGTGGAGTAATTCTAATTCTGCCCATTGTTTGCTGCACAATATACCTTTCCTTCTTGTTGTTTAACCTTCCTGGTTATATGATATCACAAGGTAAGCCAGGGGAGACGTGAAGCAAGAGGTGTGTGTGTGTGTGTGTGTGTGTGTGTGTGTGTGTGTGTGTGTGTAGGATAATTTACATTTGGCTCCTTCTAAGGTATCATCTAGCAATGAGATCTGGTTATAATCTAAACTGATGTAAAGTACTAAATACTGTTTTTCTTAATCTATATGCTCATTTCATCTTTTAAAATTGCTTTATTCAGTGGAAAAATAATGTATTCATGGTGGACTCACAGTAGCCATAGTTTTAAGTACATGGGTATGCATTGGAGCGCATTTCCCATTCCTATAGTCTAAAAGGTCTCAAGCCTTTCTGGTAATGGTAAATGATACTCTAATGTGTAAAGGGGGAAAGGAAATATGACCTTGTACTTAGAAAGATTATAATGTCAGATGAAGAGGCACATGGAGATCTCTTTAAAACATTTTATGGTACAGACAGTCCATAATAATTTGTGTTTTGTATTGATTTAGTCTGAAAGTTTTCGAACCCCCTTTGAAGTCAGTGGGGAGGCATAGCCTGTGAAACTCAGTCATAACCTACCCCATATCTTGCTCAGGGCATGCTCTGTGTTCTACTGAAGTTTCTTCCTCATCATTTGCTTCTTTCCCCCAACTACATTTATGCTGGAATATTCCTTATTAAATAGCTAATACCATGTAAGGACTGAGATATAGAAGAAGCAATAATGAAGAATAAGTACTAGCTAGCAAATAATTAGCCAATTAAACACTAAAATCAGTGTCACTGGATTTAATAAGGAGGCTTTGAGTACCTTTTAATGAATTTTAATGCATTTCATTCCTCTCTCCATAATACAGTGTTAACTCTTTCTTTATAACTCTGATATCTTCCCACAGAGAAAATAGAGGAAATGAAGTACAGGATTGTATTATCTCCATAAATATAGATGCTATTCAGAAGACAATTACAAGGACAGTGAAGTTACACATTAAATACCTTCTATTTCTTTATAGCACGTAAAAGGAAGAGAGACGCCAACAACAAGGACAAGACTTGTCATTTTGAAAGTAACGGTTTCATGACTGGGAAAAGTTTAAAGATGAGCAAAGGCAAGATGACAGCTTTTATAAAAGGAAAATCAGGGCTTGAATTAGAGTGTTACGTTTATAGATGATCTTCCAGCAAGATCTGTGGCAGGTATTATTCATTGCAGGAAACCGGAAGGTATAATATGCTGGAATAAGTATCACATTTTTCTCTTTGAGGTGATTTATATTTAAATGAGTTCTCTATAATCCTTTAAACTGAAGTGCAAATTGGTTATCAAAGTCTTTTGCTGTAAGGGTTGTTTTACATAATAATGAATTCTACAGAAGTTCCTCAAAGGGAAATATTGACTTAGGCAACATCACAGGATATTTCAGTTACAGCGACGCTTTAGATTATGGTCACAGACAGTGCACCAAACTTTGTAAAACTCTAAATTCTTTACTGAGAAGTATAGGCAGTGTAGCTTTTCTCAGTCTAAAATGTGTGCTATTGAAAATTTCAGGTAAAGTTGTTCAATTTAATCTACAGGCAGGGAGCCAATTGCTTGTTTTAGTTTAAGAACCACGGGTTCCAGGGAGGAGGCATTTTTATGTTCCAAACAGGAGCCTTAGCCACAACTGTAGTCCCCAAAAGTACTCACTAGCTAAAAGTAACCTAGCAGCATCACTTCAGCAAAGCCAGGAATGCAGGTGTGAAGGAAATCTGAGATCTGATCTTAAGACCCAGATATGTCTAAAACTACAAGTGGCTGCAGACATAGATTTATACCTGTGAACCATTGTTGCACTCTGTGAAAGGAGCTCAAACTAAATAATAACTTTTGAGAATTTTATTGTTCATCTGCTTGATTTTTTTAACAAGTGAAATTCCTAGTAAGTTAAGTTCTGTTTGAATATCAGTACCAAACACACACATAAGTAGGTTTGTTAACACAATCCTTGTTGCAAGGGCTAGGTTTGAAAAAAGACACACATTTTATATACCTACTGTGTTTCCTCTTAACCTCCATGACAGCTCCACAGAATCCTGTGAGCTACCTAGAACCTTGAAAAATGCAAGTCTCAAAATGTGGAACAGCCCTGAGTTCATCTCAATTCTCATTTTATGTGATCATAAAACATTGTACAAGAAAAAGTGTAATAACTATGTTAGACTGTGGCTAGGGACCATGATCACAATCCAGAAAGAGCCCACTGAGTGCTGAAGAATTAATCAAAAAATTTGACCTGTGGTTGACAGGGACCTGCTGCATCCTTCCAGGTTTCTTTCTGAACGTGGGTAAAGACATTTCACAATATGACATGGAAGACAGAATGTGGGCTCTGCAATAATGATCTTTAGAATTTTTTTGTGTTGTACTGTGGTTAATTTAATGAAATGTGAATATTATGCTACCCTGATAATACTATCCATTTCCTGCTTTTATTTTCTTACAAATTACTTAATGTTTCATTTGTGATTCAGCTACTATTGATTGCCCCATCAAAATACTATTCTTTTCAAACCTTAATTTTAGAAGTATTTGTCCATGTTTTGCCAAGCAACCACATTCCATCAGTGCAGTTCTTTGCTTACAGGAGTTGTTTGTTGCTTTGTAACTTAGTGACTCAGCAGGGGTCTCTCTGGCCTGAATTCTATAACTGATGGTGTTGGGTTAATTCCAACCTGTCTGTGACAATAGATTCCCACTTACCTGCCTCTGCCTTCTGCTGCTTCTCAATCTTCTCCAGGCGCCCTAGCAAGGAGTCAATTTTAGTTTTGATCTGGGTTAATTCTTTCTTGATTGTCTGTAACTCATCTGATTTCACTGGAAAGGGAAAAGTGGAAAGAAAAAAGACATCAAATGGACGACTTAGAACACAGTTTGTGACATAGTACTTCTCAAGACTGTCTTATAAGGTTCCCAGTAAATAATCAGCTTCCTGGTACAGCTAGTCATCCTGAAGCTGTGCATGTCTTTGCTCATTGGAAATAAGGACTCTTACTGACATAAGAATGAGGTATTCAATCTTCTAACTAAAGGTCACTTGAAAGACTAAAAGAATATGAAAAGATTTTCAACAGAATGATGCCAGGTCTTGACTTACTCAAAGAAGAAACAGAATAAACCTTCACTGTAAAATTGACTTGGCTTAAGGGATAGTGATAACTGTGTTAATACTACTTTGAATCACATTGTTGCTATATACATGTTTTATATTTTGATTGTGTGACAGGGTCTCAATAAGTAGTTCATGATAGACAGAACACTCCTGCACAGCCCACCACTCATAGCTAAACATCAGTGATATTTTTGAGACAGTTCTTTGGAGATTGATTGGAACAAAAGTATAACATTTGGTCTTGAGAGAACAAATTATTGCCTGAGCTCTTCCTAAAAGTAAAGCAACAAGCAACAGAGTGTACATACCCATCCTTAAGCCATGGGGCAGGTGGAAAGGAAACACAAAGGCAGTCTCCCTGATTTTTATATAAATTTAATTCACGATTTATTTATTTACATATTTTGAGATAACTTATCACTATGTTGCTCAAGTTGTCCTTGAACTCACCACCTTTCTGCCCCAGCCTCCTGAGTGCAAGAACACCAGGCATAATAAACCATATATCACCTCACTGGTACATGTGTAACAATTTGTTCCAATTCTAGTTTTCCAATATTTAATGTGGTGTCTAGTGGGAAAAATGAAGGCTGATGTGAAGAGAAACTTTTCATTTTGTTAAGTAGTGTTTCTAAAATCAACAAATATGGGTTGGAGATTTATCTAAGTATTTGAGTGCTTGCCTAGCAAGCAAATGACCCCAGGTTTGCTCTAGAAATGGAGAAACAAAAGATGAAAAAGCAGGTGTGAAAGACAACATATTTTATTACTTCCTTGCCAATCAAATTACCCATTTAATTTTAAGGTGCTTAAGGAAAGGACAATATCATATTTAAATAATAACTATTTATGTAATGGGGAAGGTTTGAGAAATGCCATGTACTGGACATGACACAGCTTGTACAATCATGATCTCACAGACACTATACTTGCCTGCATACAGCCTGCCCATGAGTCTGGGTCTGTCAACAATCAATCGGGGATTGGGAAGGACCCTACTGTTGCCTGGTGAATTATGAGCTATTAAAATAGGGAGTCATTGTCCTCAGTTCTGTACCCACTCATGAGTTTTACACAGTAAATCCATGGTTACACAAACCTCCCTGGCTAAATGTGATGGCCTGCTGAACTAAACCAACCAGCATGGATGTGGAAAGAGATGAAAGGACCAGAGGAGGTCATTGGGGTGGGAGGAAAAGCAGAGGATATGAATGAGAGAAAGAGACAGAGGGAAGGGAGGAGGAAGCTAATGGCAGTGGGAGAAAAAGAAGATGGGGAACAAGGGTGAACAAAATTGCTAAAGAATTACTTCAATAATAGAAATTATACAAAAGTTAAGGGTACACAGTATTGTAACTTTTGTGAGAAGCTGAATACATCATCTTTATTTTGCTTATCTGAAAACCACAAGTGGTTTTGTCATGGGTCCACAACAGACTTTCCAGTCCCTTTGCTTCATTAGGGATGCTTTGGTTACCAGATATCTAAGACACACACATCTTTCTTATCATTTTCATGTTGGTGTATAAACCACATCAGCTTAGTTATTATCCAGATATTCAGAAGAATTAACTGTTGTTTAACTTTTTTAGTCTTGAAACTTTTGAAAAAATAGTAAGATAAAATGAAATCTGTTTAAGTTTACATATTTGTCAATTAAAATATATGAAGTAATATACTATTCATAATGTATTTAGGTCTCAAAACATAAAAAGAGTTTTTATTTTCCTGTCCAAAAAAGAAGACATTTCTCATTATTAAATCAAATTAAAAAATGTTCTTTCTAGTGCAAAGTACTTTGTTAGATTAAAAACTGCAGGAAACCAGAGTCCCCTGCAATTCTATGAGTATCACCCAAATTAAAGGAGAACATACTTGAAACAATGACTCCCTCTGGATGTCAATTATTCCAGACATCAAAGTACCATATCTGAATTGCAGCTAAATTTGAAAAACATCATCTGTCACTATGAGAAATTGATTCTTCTTTGAAGAATGATACTCATTTCATTTGGTGGAGGCGTATCATGTATTTTTACTTAAACCTATCAGATTTAATAGAAAATATTTTATATGATAACTGGTTTCAATGATGTAAAATGGAACTGTGTCTAGAAACTAATAGAATCTATTTCTCAGTGAATAAGTCAATCCTTAGCTATAGCCAATTAATTTCAATTTATTCATCATATAAAAACATAAATTGATATATCACTAACATCTCACATTATTAAAGCTGAGTTAGAATGCACCTAGAAATTGGGGTTTACATGATACGAACCTGTAACTGTCCAGGGAGCCAAAGTTTGAGGTTTAAACTAAAGCAGTATTTTGTAAGACCAAAGAAGGAATGTATTAATATTCCAGTCTAATTACCATTATTGAAGCTTATAAAGGTCCATATTTCTTTAAAACAAAGAAATCTATAAAGTCCTGTTTTCTTTCAGAGTCCAACATTTAATAATGAAATGAGTCTCTAGTCTTGTACAATCTGCCTGGTGCCTCAAGACTTGAAATGATGAAGTTCTGACAAGGGTCCTAAGAGCAGGCTGGGCTAACAGAGCTGTGTGCCTCTCCCAGAGTCATGGAAACCAATTCCTCATCTCAGTGCTGTGTTTGGAAGGTCTGCCCATGCCCAGGCAGTGAGCTACAGTTCAATGTCTACTGTTCTTTATCAGAGTCAATGTCTGCATCCAGATGGTTCTGGTTTTGTGCTCTCTTGACTTCTTCCTAGAGGAAAGTCTCTGACAAGGCGGATGCACCTCTTCTCGTACTGTTGCTTTAACTCCAGTCTCTCCTTTACTGTCTACGCATTTCCTCCCTGATAAAATTTTCTCTGCAACATTTTTAACCAATCTATAATGTTAGTTAATTCATTGAAACAGGTAATCCTTTGCTATTCAGTATTTCTAGAATTTTAGAAGTCGTAATGTTGCTAATTATGTTCTTTTTCAAAAACTACATGTTAAGTAAATAACACAGCTGTAGGTCCAATATATTTGCCTCCACATTCATTCACTCTTATTCAGCCTCTACTTTCCCCTTACCTAGACTTGTGAAAACATTTCTTAAAATAATATTTATGAATCACCAGTCTTGTACTTAACTGAAAATTTTCAGAACATCTTCCTTTTCTATAGCAAGAAAGATAAGTAAGACATTCCTGAACAGTGTTATTACACAACCTCAAATGTCTTCCATATGTTTTGAGTTTTGAATGCCATCTAGCTGGTGGAACTATTTTGGCAGGCTTCATAACCTTTAGGAGATGAGGTATGACTGATAGAAGTGAGTCCCTGGGGATAGCCTATGCTTTGTTCATATCCGTGTTGACCTCTTTTTTATTGGTTCTCTATGGCTTGAGGAGATGTTCTCTGCTGTATGCTCACCTACCATGATGTTCTCCTCAATACGTGGTACTGAATCATGGAGAACCCTTGGAAACCCTGAGCGAAAATCAATCTTCCATGCTTTAAGTTGTTACTTTGATGTAGCCACAATACATGAAAGGAATTAATGTATAAACACATTGCTTTAAAATGGTATCTAGGACCCTCTGGATTTTTACCTTTTTATTCTATTCCAATCTTAATAGAATAGCTTCCTGTTAAAAATGAATTTGCTTCAAATATGTGTGCCTTAGGGACATGAAGGTTCTCCACCTGTGTAATTTCCATCCTCTACATTAGAGGGAAAGGTACAACCACTTAGTACCATGCTCAGAGCATCAATAGAACCAATGAGTGGTAAAAGGACTTACTATGATTCTTGCTGTTATTACACTGTATTATTGTGTAAACATGTTTCTCTAATCAAAGACTTTTTCTGTTTCCAAATGTGTCTCAAAATCTAACCAAGATTTTAGGGCTTAGACTTGTTTGCATATGAATTCCTCTTTTACAAACCCACGGAAAGTTGGAGTTCTCACCTGTAATCTATTTAATGGTGTATTACATTTACTGCTACACTTTCACTGATTATTGATTTCTCTTTTACATGTCTGTATTCAATAATAGATGATTTGTTTCTTCAGTGAATACCTCTTGATTAGATGCTCAGGAAATTCAGCAGCCCCAATTTTTAGTGTTTTCTGTGTGTTTTGATTGTCTTCCTCATCATTTTACTGATTGCTCAGGTTCCTACCTTGAAGGTTTAGGGATTGAATCAGTCCTGTTTATCTAAAAATGATTTTAACAGCTAAAAAAGAGATGTTAAATCAGGTAAACACCAGAGTAATTTGTGTCTTGTCATAAGAAGCCAGATTTTGAACACTTAGAAGTAGATTTGGGGGGCATCTGTGGAACACAGGTTAAATTAAGAAATATACCAATCTGATCCCTCATGGAAGGCCTCACCGTCCTTGGGGAGCAGAAAGGGGATGGGATGGGTGGTTGTGGGGGACATGGAGGATGGGAATGAGAGAGAACTTGGATTGATATGTAAAATAAGATTGTTTCTAATCTAAATTAAGAAAAAGAAATATACCCATCCTAAAGTTCTAGGACTAAAGTCATTCTGTGCAAAGAATGCCTTCAATTCTTTTGTTTTTGTTGTTGTTATCACATTAGCAATAGAACATTGTTCAGTGTCTGGACACAATAAACAATAAATACTACAACATTTACAGTATGCTTATATGTGGCTATGGTGACTTCATGCTAGTTTTAACCAGGCTAACACACTTTATTTTCAAACCTTTGTGTAT